CGTTTTTCTCGTGCTAGCGCCGAATATCGTAAACGACCGTAAAAGTAAATTGCTTTCCATTGCATTTAGTGGAAAGGTTTCCGCCGACGAAGCAACGGCAAAACAAAACTAATGCACACCCGCTCACCGTTCAATGAATCAGCAGACAATTTAATTAGACACCGTGAAAGTAATCAAGGCCTTAAAGTAGTTTTTATGAAAACAATTTTCGATTAGTGTTATTTTCAGGATCGAAGACAGAGCAGTTTTCACGTTTTTGCAAGACCTACGTCCAATAAACTCAAACAGTGTAATATTCGTTCTCGTATATCTAAGAAACTGACACAGCATATATATTTGACTTATCATCAGGGTCGGACCTAGAATGGGAGGGGCAAGTCGGGGATTTAACCCCGGGCATAAAATTTTCCAAATTATCGGGGACTTAATACATTTTTTTAACTATCGATCTTATAGACAAAAAATGTAATTGATATGAAAAGTTTTACCACTAAAATATAATTATAAAAGTATAAAAAAATTTAAATACTTTCAAGTTGGTAAATTATTTACCATTGTTAATTTCAAAATAGTTTTGACAGTACACAATCTGTATATAGGTCATGTAATGGTATTCAATGATTTATTGGTTGAAATTGTGAAATAAAAATTTATACGCTAGCCAATGTTATGTCATTATTATATATTTGAAAATAAAGTATAATCAAAGAAAGCAATTTTTAAAAAAATTATTTATAAAAAAAGAATCCAAAAATAATATAACCTTTCATAAGTCCGAAGTAATATCTGTGTTAAATGTTCAATCTACAGTAGAGTTTATGAAAGTTTCAAAGCATCATTTGTATTTGAAAAAGTATTTACGAACAATGAGCATACGACGTATTAAAAAATGTCTTATCGTTGTCTAACAAATACATTTCTCGCTTCAACCAAAATCTGAAATTAATATTACATAGTAGTACCGTGATATTATTTTATCCGAGGACTAATTAGTAATTATTAGTATTATACAAATACTATATCCCACAGTAACTACGTTGTCCATTCAGTAACAAGTATATGAATATCTAATTTAGCATCATAATTTCATTGCGGCTCATGAATTATAAAATCAATTTTGAATAACAAAATAAATATTATACACCTGAATGTTTATAAAATTATAAAACAATTGTTTAGACACTACATTTGAAGCGCAGAATCATTTTTCGAGTGTTCTATTTTATTTTACTTTATAAGTTGAAATAATAATATTATAGAAGTATTACAGCATCGAATCACAACGGGTCTCTAAAATAATCTGTCCCTTGTCGGATTAAGCTGATTATTTGGCTTATAATCTCAATAGAATAAATAAATAAACATTTCAATACAATTTACCATCAATCTTTTATGAAGCAATTTAATAAGTGAATTATTATTATTCTATCATGCTGTTAATACACTTAATGCATGATATAAATTCCTAACACGAACAGCAGTTATCATGATTTTATGTATTTTCAAGTTGATAACAATATTTAGTATGAAATTCTTTAAGGTTTTCAACAAACACATTACTAGTTTTAAAGATAATTTATTTTCAACATACATTCCAATTAGTTTTAAAATTTAACTTAATTATTATATAACCCAATGTTTTAAGTAAAAAACTGACAAATATTAATAATTTTATGTCAAATTGAGAAATATGTTTAGAGTAAAGTGTTTCAATAATATTTTCATTTTTCATTTTAAATTCATGACTATGAAAAAATCAAAATTCTTTATAAATACTGTTCAAGCATATTATGAACATTTTACGCTACATTACAAGTCACACAGCAATTTTATAAGTACTGTTAGGAATATTAATAATACAGAAATTGTTATCTCCCATATTTATTATTAAAAATTGGTATCGTAATAGTATACAAGTATTTATTTATGTATAAGTAGAAATTTCTAAATTAATTAATTTTTTGCACTTCTAAATATGTACTTTGTATTACTCGTCGAATAAAGGTATATATAGAATGTCTATATATTTTTAAAATCTTTAAACTTCGTAAAATGTTATAGAACTCACTAAATTTAGTCACAGGCCATACTTTGTACATACAAATCAATTTAAGTTATATAGTCTATACATTATTATTGATTACAGCATCAAACCAGTAATTTTACAACATGCCTTAAATTTGTTGATTTCACGAGCACCTACAGATATTTTTTAATTATATTTTCACTAAAATGTAATAATAAATTAGCATAAATAAATGTTATAATGTATTTTATACACTATATACTCATGCAAATTTAACAATATAATAAATTATTATAAAAATAAAAAATATAAACTGATATTTTTACGTGTTTAATGAATCGTTAATCATTTCAAACTGATACAGTTCTTTAATTCCTTTTGACATTTTGCAAAGTGTTTGAGAATTTAGTATTGATGTTCCATTACTTTTCTTATAGAATATTAAATATATACATTACATAAACCGTAGTATGGTTTTTTTTTTATACATTTTTTCCATAATGTATTTCTATACATTTTTCATGCAACTAAAATATTTGTATTCCCACGTTAATTTATATAAACAGTGTCAACTTTATACAACAGCATATAATTTTAATTTCTTGAAAACTTTAGTTTTTTTTTTTCATTTTTATAATTAAATTTAACATTAGAGTAATATTTTTAATTACGAGTATAATGATTAAAAGTTTATACTAGTGATTAAGTTGATCATTTAATAGTTGAGTTGCTGTAAAATATTACTCTGGTTTACAATAAAAGAACAATTTTGTTATAAATATTTTAATATGCCACGATCAAAGTATAAACGCATATTTGTTTTGACTAATGATTTGTGATATTTTTTCTGAAATTGGACGCAGTAAATTCTAATTACTCAAAACAAAAACTATTCCAATAAAAATTGCGTTGTATACTGTGACACGAATTAAAAATGCCTGTATTTCGAAACTCAAACAGTATTACATCATTGGAACGTTTAAGGCGTTGTTTCACATGTTTTGGGTTGCACACACACGTGCATCCATGAACGAACCCTGTTCGCTATAAAAAAATTTTATTTCAAGGGGTGACCATAAAGAGGGTATTATCTCGAAAAAAAAATGTTTTTATATATTAATTATTTCCTCCCTTTTCATACCACATACACTTCTAAAAATTTACCATATCCCCTCCCCTCAAACGGGATAGAAAGTCTGAAATAAACACAGACTATAAAAAAGGTAAAACGTCCTGTATCCGACATAGTGACATTACGAATGAAGCACAGTGCATTCAACGTATTTCAACATTTTGTGTACCTACTAGTTCATGGATTTTTGACCTTTTGAAGTATATACCCTATTTTATACTATTTTATGATGTCATGTCCCTCCTCATCATAATAAGATTAAATTATGTTTAATATATATATATATTTATTAAATTTAAAATTTATTATTATTAAGTAGATACAAATTAATAATAGGGTTGGCGTCAATAACGAGAAGGGGGGATAGGTGGACCGCCCCCCCCCTTGATCCGTGTAAAAACTAATAATATGAATGAGCAAATAGTTTACTAAAAATCGTTTTATCGATCATTTTATGTCAAAACTGTTTTGCTCCTAGAGAGGGCTCGTTCTTTACTGGTTTACTCGTATATACCATGATATGGTATCAAGTGGTATGAGAAAACTAGTAAAAATTCAACAAACCGTTTGCTTTCGTTACCTCTAGGAAAACACGGATATGATTTTATCGTTTATCATTATTATTTATCATTATCTGTTAACATATATCAGTTATTGAGTTCACGACATTCACGTTTTTATAATATTGTTTTTGAAGTTCTGTCATTGGTAGCTCGTGCTCTCGTTTTTTTGTAAAAATGTCAAAAAAATAAAATAACGTCTTATTTTGAAACAAATGCGCCGAAAAAATATAAAACGAGTAACACTGATGATGATGCAAAAAAAAAAAAAAATCACTATGATTGAAATGCAACACAAATGTTGGATAGACAAATGCCAACGTTGTGAATCGTAAGTTTACTAGACAGTACGGGCATAACAAGTTTTATTAATGAAACTGCAGATGATTTTACTAAATCATTAATAGTTGAAAGAAGTATTATCCCTACATAAAATGTTATTTATCCTTTTTCAACCCACATAAAAAAAAGGGACAGTTGAAAAACGGTACATGCGTGTCAATCGTTTCGATAAATTCACGTGTTTACAATATTCAAAGGTTAAACATGTTTGTAAAACGTGTGTATTGTTTTTGACTTGGTGGTATGCATAAGACGCAACCATTAAAACCATTAGTTACCGAGCTCCTAAAAAAAATATGCTAAATTGCTAGTTGAAGATGGTGTAGCTTTAGGTGTGCACAATAATACCACTTATCGAAAAAATGCTGCACAACAAGCAATTGATTTTCTAATCACATACATAACGTTTTCTCGAATCGATATAATTAATAATAATGTTCACGGTTTCCTAATGGGATTTGGACTTGTGGAATTCAACTATTTGGACCCATGGAACTTTGCCGATGGTGACGTTTTGATCACGGTTAAGCTTGTGTAAAGCCCATGGCCATCAGAAATAACGGAATGTTTACGTCCGCGATATTCCTAAGCCGCCCGTCGCCTTTGATCGAGCTGCGACCACGTGACGGTGACCTCCGGACGCGACGCATAAAGGTCGTCTTCGTACTCGATTGGCGGCCGTTCGGGCCCGGAGCGAAACGTGCGCCCGTTACGTGTCACCCGAACATTTCGAAAAAGGTCACGCCGGCGGATGCAACCGCGCGGCTCCGACGGACGGCGACGGGCCGATCCGGACCAAGGGGGGGGGGGGGGGGACGTGGCATTTAGGTTTCGAAACGTTACGGGGGAGACGCACCGACGGCGCCGACGGCCGAAATGTCAGATCGCGGGGCGCGCGCTCGCGTTTCTCGGCGCGACGCCACTGCCGCCGTAACGCGCACGATCGGCACCGGATTATAGTTGACGACCTATTGCCATTCCTGCAGGTCGGCGAACACAACGTACGGCGCACCGCGAACCAGACGGTGCACGCACGTGATCCGGGCGCGCTTTCGAGTTTTCGTTTTATTCGATTCGATAATTTTTCATTTTTATTTATTTATTTTTTTTTTTTTTCTACTCCCCCATTCCCAAAAACGCGATAAACGAGAACGGAAAATAATAAAATAAAATAATAACGTTGAAATGTTCGAAGCGCAATAATCCCGTTCTGTTTGTTCGTTCCTGTGCACAATACCTGTACTCGTATCGTACTCGACGCGTTATTATTGCAGGCCGACGACGGAAAAAACCGCACCATGATTGGAACCGTTCTGATCAATTTCTTTCTGCTCGGATTGTCCAGTTCTGCGTTGGCCGGTAAGTCTAATATTTTTTTTCTTTTTTTTTTTTTTCTACCAACCTGTGCACCTACCGCTGCGGGAACAGCTGCATGGTCTTGTGCAGGTTAGTTGGTTACTTATAGGTTTATTGTACGAAATTCCGGTAAACGAACAACTTAAAACTATGGAACTGACTGGACAGATAAACATTTTTACAGCAATTGATACGAGACGATTTGTTTCGCATCAAGGATTGGGTTGGAAAACTATACGAGTACTTACTCAAACAATAATAAACCATGTTACCATATCAAACTGTTATAAGGAAAAAAAACATTTAATGTACTTACTTGATAAATTTATGTTTATCGAAATCGTCCATGTAAAAGTACCGAGAATGGTTATTTCCGCATATAGGTATGTTTAATGAACTACGTATTTTCAATATATTAGTCATTAATAATATGTTTATTTGACTTTATGGTTCGTAGTAAATCGATCCCGTGATGCAACGTTTATAATATGAAGGTATTCAAATTAATTTTAGCGCTGGGTAGAGTAATTTTCCAATTAGGGGTTTACGTTTAATTTCAACGGTTTAAGTCTTAGGTTAGACAAAAGGTATACGGGCAAAAATTTTAATTAAAAAAGTAATTCTAAATTTAATACAACTTATGTACAGTTGCCTTTTTTAAAACGAAGTGAGAAATGGTATTAAATTAAAATAATTTTTTTTTTAAATAAGTAGTCTTTGTTAAAAAAATCTCTTGCTCTTCAAGTACACATTATAATTAAATACACGTATTTATTATACACGTTACATTTTACCTCTAATTGGTTCTGATTTCTTGAGTTGAATTACATTTAGTGTACCAACATCAGTCCTCGTGTTTGTCAATTATTTATTGTATAAGCCACCATTGTCAAAATTGCAACCAACAAAATCCTTTAAACTGTAAATGTTGTAATTGGGTTTTTTTTAATAATGTCATTGTATTGATGCATATCTTGGCGATTAAGAGTTGTCGGTGAAGTATAATATATTATACTGTATTTAATGTAAATATTGTATGTGTAGGTTAAACCATTTTACGGTTAATAAATTAATAAATAAAAGTATTCTGCACAAGTGTGTTATATTAACCAAACTTATAAACTTATTTACATAATAATTTATTTAAAAAAAATTGACCTGACACAAGCATAAATGAGCATTTTATGAAAAAAATATTATTTAAATGACTTCTGACTTTTGTTGGTGAATTATTGTATTAATCTAATATCGATTACAATAGTTATTTTCTCAATGTAGGGGTTTATTTATAAATTGAGTTTAATAAATTTCGGAGGAAAAGACAATAACAGAGTAATTTTAATAATTCAATGTTATTGGATAATAGGATGAACAATTTTTTTTGTAATTCAATAGTTTCATAATTTTTATATTAGATTATTCAACTCGTTTTAATTCTACGTTTTTCGCTATCAATATTAAAAACTTCGTTATTTAATCAAATGCTAATACACATAAATACTTTTTTCTTCGGTAAAGACCATCCACTAATACCAACTAATCCCTACATACCTTGCCTCCAATTTTCTCTATCCATGTCTGAATCCTCCAGTCTACCCCTCCTCCTAACGCTTTCACATCATTCCTTACTACGTCCTCCCATATCAGATGTGGTCTTCCCAGCGGTCTTTAAAACTTTAAAACTCAAAAACTAATGGATCTAAAATTTTAAAATATGCATATACATTTATAATGTTTTGTTTAAACAATCTAAAACAAAACCATTAATTAATATAATATTCAGTAGATTAAAGGCTCTGCACAGCTATTTCTATTGTAGCAAATATATTTATAATTTATCTTATTCTATCTTTATAGACATTAATTACATTAATTTTATACTTATATTTCTCAATTTTACTACTGTCAACTTTTTAAAAATAGTTTAAAGTTAGTGATAATAGAATCAAAATGTTTATGACTTTTTCATTTTTTTTTTTTATCGTATTTTCTTAAAATCTACCTATAAATTCGTTTTGTTATATTTTTAGACAATAAGATGAAATTGAATTTTGTAAATTATTACATTTTGAAGAATAAATTAATTTTAGGGAAAAAAATGTATGGTTTTCATAATTCGACGACGAAAAAAAAATATTCAATACCATTTAAGACTAACAAATAAATAGACATATAAAAATGTAATCTTTCAGCCTATGACCATAAATCTTTATCATAATACTTATTGGCTTATAAATTATCATCTATAATTTATTGGAAATCGTACTTGATCGATTTTATGATCGAGAATCCTGATTGTGTGATAATATCAACAATACTCAATATATTACATGCTTTTAAAATCTTCAGTAAGTGTACTGCAAGTTTACTATATTCATATATTTAGTATTCGTGTTTTAAAAAGTTAACAAAAAGTCTAAAGTTCTAAACCATTTCAAAAGTCACTCGCTTACGAACATTTTTTGTTGAGTTCGAAGATGTGTTTTCAACCGAACTTAGTGCTTATGTGTGAACTATGAAAAGTAAAAAAATCAGAAAAAAAAATTAAATTTACAACAACCAAACATATAGCAAGTGCAAAACGTAAATAGGCATTCTAATGAAAAGATACGTCATATAAGCTACCGTTATTAATTATTTAAGGCAGGGACGAAAAAATATTATTAGGAAAGGATGTTTTTTACATTATTTTGAAAAAAATCTACCATCTACTTAATAGAAAATATGTGTTGAAAATATTACTGGAAATTTTAAATTTAAATTTCATAAACGATTTTCAAGTTCAATATTTTATTATAAGTTTTAATGTCGATACGTGTTATTCACAAACCTAGAGTTTATAACTAAGGACTACTAAAATTATCAAAATCTCAAAAACCTGTGAGACCATCATTTTAATTACATTTGAGTGAAAATTAGGACCACCGTATTATTTTAACTTTTCGAACTCATATTTCTCAAGTAAATAACTTTTTAATAGAATAATTTCCACTTTTAATAGCCTACTATAGTTATAACGAATCTTTTATTTATAATCCCTTAGTCAAAAAAAAAAAAAAATTAATTGGATTTGAGACTATTAAATTAAAAACTTTATATTTCTATTTATATTCATGTTTATAAATATAATCATTATGAAATTTTAAAAATTTTAAATAATTAAATAAGGAATGTCTAACGATTCTTATATCCCCTTATATGCATATACCAACTGTGTACAAACATAAGATGATAATTTCTTTTATGGTTGTAACAATTTATTTTAATTTCATAATTTTAATTTTATTTAATTTATCATATTTGTAATTTAAATAATTTTAACTGAACTTCAAATATACTTTAGGTAAATTATGCTAAACCATACACATATTTAAAGTTAATTATGACATTAAATTTAATTAAATTGTAAGCGGCACTTTATATAAAACATTTTAACTAATTCTTTAAAAAATAATTCTCAAAACATTATGAAAATATATATATATATATATATATATATAGTGGGATAATATTGTATTATTCATGATTTATATTATTTTGGTGCTATTATTTATATAATACCAATAATATTAAAAAATAATAAACTAAAAAAAAAATATTTTAAATGTTAAGTTCTTCGGGGAACAGATGATTGTAATAATATCTTGTTACATCTAAAAAATACATCTTGGATGGCACTATATCTTTTTTTATTGAAAATATTATGCATACACATAATACATTAACGGTCTATTTGCTAACGGGTATTACATAAATAACATTTAAAGTGTTTGATAACATTACTGATCCAAATTATCAGTGCACTTGTAAATTATTTAAAACAAGTTCAATATCAAAATATTATTCATCATCCTATACTCATATGTGGCGTTTAGATCCGGTAGATTATCTATATTGTTATTATTATTCTTATTAAGAATAAAAATTTGCATTTTTCGAGAAACAGCAAGTTAATATATTTCTTAATGTGAAAAAATCGATTATCGGAACACAACAAAGGATGAAAAGTATAAAAATAACAAGATTTATTTGAACAGTTTTAACAAAAACTGTCGTATTTATGTACACTGGAAAAAAACCTTTTCAATGAGCACGAATCGACAAGTCAACGTGTATAATGTACGCGTTAGTTGACACAAAAACTGTAAACAGGGCATTTCTTCGAATCAATGCTATGTACCTTTGAAAGCGCTTCTTCTTAAAATAAAATTGTGTCTAATAATTTAAATTTGTATAATTATACAGAGTAATAATAATATTTAATACAATTTATTAAAACAAAAATCTAACTACATATTTTTAATCACGTAATTTAACTGGTTAAATAAATTTAATAAAAAAATAATTACATTTTCATATAAAGTATAATATTTATAAAAATATTTACCACATATAAAGTAAAATGTATTTACGTTTAATTTTTTGAATACAATTTTTTAATTATTTAAATATTATAAGTACAAGAGCAGATGTCTTTATTTTAATTAACATCAAATTTTATTTGAAAATTAATATAAAAAAATTATTACATAATAATTCGAATTAAAATAGTATATTAATCAATAAACGAATATTAGGTATATCATTTGCATTACACACACACACACACACATATATATAATTTGAAAGAACATTGTGATTATTGTTAATAATAAATTGATTGAAATATTATTTTTGAACACTTATTGATACATTTAATATGAACACAGTAAACGTGAATAATAGTATGTTAAAATTAAAAAATGTTTAACATTTTAATTTTTAACATTAGTTTAAAAAGTTTAAGTAATCAGATTAACAAATATAATGTATTTATTTATTTTAAGTTAATATGAATTACACGACTAAAAGTAAATTGTTATAATGGATTAATCATAAATATTAAAATAATCTTATTAAATCATATTTATATTAATGAAACAATTTATAAATTTTTTTTGTATCTATCCAAAACTTATGTGTATTGTATTATTATCATTAATATCACGTAATCAATCTAATAA